AAATACAAAAAATTAGCTGGGCATGGTGGCAGACACCTGTAATCCTAGCTACCCAGGAGGCTGAGGCAGGAGAATCTCTTGAACCTGGGAGGTGGAGGTTGCAGTGAGCCAAGATCATGCCACTGCACCTCAGTCTAGGTGACAAGCACAACTCTGTCAAAAAAAAAAAAAAAAAAAAAAAAAGAAAAAGGAAAAAGAAAAAGAAAATAAATAAATAAACAAATAAATAAATAAATAAATGGTAGCAGAAAATTTCTTAAACCTGGAGAAAGATGTAAATATACAGATACAGAAAAATCAAAGGTCTCCAATTAAATTCATTCCAAATAAGACTACCCCAAGACATATACTCAAATTGTCAAAGATCAAAGACCAAAAAGAGGATCCTGAGAGCAGCAAGAGAAAAGAAGCAAATAATATATAAGGGAGTTCCAATACATCCAGCAGCCGACTTTTCAACAGAAATTTTATAGGCCAGGAGAGAGTGGAATACTATAAAACATGCTGAAGAAAAAAACTGCCAACAGAGAATAGTGTACCCAGCAAAGCTATCTTTCAGAAATAAAGGAGAGATATAGGCTTTCCTAGACAAACAAAACCTGTGGGAGTTCATTACCACCAGGCCTGTCTTATAAAAATACTAAGGGGAGTTCTTCAAGTTGAAAAAAAGTTTTCTAATGATTAACACAAAAACGTTATAAAAAAAAAGTATAAAACTTGCTGGTAAAAGTAAGTACACAGTCAAATGCAGAATACTATAACACTGTAATCCTGGTGTGTCAATTACTTATAACTGTAGTATGAAGGCCAAAAAACAAAGTGATTAAAAATAGTAATAGCTGCAATAATTTTTAAAGGAATATGCAATATAAAATATGTAAATTTTGACATCAAAAATTCAAAATGTGGACAGTGGAGGAGTAAAATTGTAGAGGTTTTTTCATGATCAAAGTCAATTTGTTATCAGCTTAAAATAACCTGTTATAACTATAGATGTGTTTTGAAAACCTCATGGTAACCACATAGAAGAAACCTCTAGTTGATATACAAAAAATGAAAAACAAGAAATCAGACATACCACTAGAGAAAAATCACTCCCTTCCCCACAAGGGAAGACAGTATGAGAGAAAAGAGAGGAATAAACAATGTACAAAATAACTAGAAAACAATTAATAACATGGCAGTAGTAACTATTGATAATTACTTTAAATGTAAGTAGGTTAAATTCTTCAATCAAAAGGCATAGAGTGACTGAATGGATTTTAAAAAGATTCAACTAAAGGCTGCCTACACTTCACCTATAAGGACATACAGAATAAAGGAATGAAAAAAGATATCTAATGCAAATGAAAACCAAAACAGAGCATGAATAACTATATGTGTATCAGATCAAATACAATAAAAGGCAAAAGTTGTAAAAAGAAATAAAGGTAATTATATAATGACATAAAATGGTCATAAAATATATATAATGATTACATAATGATATATAATGATTATAAAATGGTCAAAATTCAGCAAGAGAATATAATAACTGCAAACATATATGCACCTAACATTGGAGCACCTAAATGTATAAAGCAAATATTAATAGACCTGAAGGGAGAGATCAACTGTAGTACAATAACAGTGACTTAACACTCCATTTTCAGCAATGGACAGATCATCCAGACAGGAAATCAGTAGGGAAAAATCACCTAAACTACAATCTGTATCTAATCAACCCAACAGACATATACATATTATTCTGTCCAACAGCTACAGAATACACATTCTTCTCAACTGCACATGAAACATTCCGCAGAACAGATCATAGGTAAGGCCACAAAACAAGTCTTAATAAATTTAAGAAGATTAAAACCATATTAAGTTATTTTTTTTCCCGACCACAATGATATAAAACTAGAAATCAAAAATAGAAGGGACTTTAGAAAAAATGCACAAATAATGGATATTAAACAACATACTCTTGAATAAATAATGGGTCATTGAATAAATTAAAAAGGAAACAAACATTTCTGGAGACAAAAAATATTTCTTAAGACAAATGGAAAAGAAAAACAATATAGCAAAACCTATGGTATACAGCAAAAGCAATTCTAAGAGGGAATTTTACAGAAATAAATGTCTATTTCACAAAAAGAAAAATCTTATATAAATAGCCTAATGTTGAACCTCAAGAAATTAGAAAAACAAAGACAAACTAAGCTCAAATTTAGTAAAAGAGGGAAACAATAAAGATCAGAGCAGAAAGAAATGAAATAGAGACTACAGAAACAACAGAAAAGATCAACAAAACTGAGATAAACAAAACCGGGTTTTTGAAAAGTTAAACAAAATTGACAAATCTTTAGAAAGACTAAGAGAAAAAAGAGAGAAAACTCAAATAAATAAGAAACAAAGAAGGAGATATTGCAACTGATACAATAGAAATACAAAGGCTCATGGGACACTTATGAACGATTATATACCAACAAATTGGATAACCAAGAAAACATGGATACATTCCTTGATACATACAACCTACCAAGATTGAATTATGAAGAAATATAATATCTTAATAGATCAGTAATGAGCAAAAAGATTGAATCAGTAGTAAAAAGTCTCCCATAAGTGAAGACCTTATATCTTCACTGCTAATCTCTATGAAACACTTGAAGAACTAATACCATTTCTTCTCCAACTCTTCCAAAAATGGAAGAAGGAATATTTCCAAACTCATTTTACAAAGCCAGCAAAGCCCTGATAGCAATGCCAGACAAAGGTACTACAAAATATCAATTACATTCTTCACAGAAATAGAAAAAAACAATCTTAAAATTTGTATGGAACCACACAAATCCCTAAATAGCCAAAGTAATCTTGAGCAAAAATAACATTTCTGGAGGTATCACACTACCTGAATTCAAAATATACTACAGGGTTATAGTTTTATACTATAGAGCTATAGTAACCAGAACAGCATGGTACAAGCATGAAAACAGACACAAAGACAATGAAACAGAATAGAGAACTCAGAAAGAAATCTACACATTTACTGCCAACTCACTTTCAACAAAAGAGCAAAAAACCCACAATAGAGAAAGAGCAGTCTCTTTAGTAAATGGTGTTGAAAAAACTGGATATCCACATGCATAAGAATGAAACTATATCTCACAACATATACAAAAATCAACTAAAATGAATTAAAGATTTAAATATAAGATTCAAAATTATGAATTGAGAATAAAACACAGGATAAAAGCTTTATGATATGGTCTTGGCAATAACTTTTTGGATATGACCCAAAAAGTACTGTTAATAAAAGCAAACAGATGAATGGGATTATATCAAACTAAGTAGCTTCTGCACAGGAGAGGAAACAATCAACAAAATAAAGGGACAATCTACAGAAGGGGAAAAAATATTTGCAAACTATACACCTGATAAGGGGTTAATATCCAAAATATATAAGGACCTCAAACAGCAATAAAACAAATAACCCAATCAAAAGAAGGACAAACGACCTGACTAGACATTTCTGAAAAGAAGACATTTAAATGGTCAACAGAAATATGAAAAAAACGCTCAATACCACTAATTATTAAGGCAATGAAAATTAAAGTCACAATGAAATATCACCTCAAACCTATTAGAATGGCTGGTATCAAAAAATCAAATATAAGTGTTGGCAAGGATGTGGAGAAAAGGGAACCCCTGCATACTGTTGGTGGGGATGTAAATTAGTACAACCACTATGGAAAATAGTATGGAGGTTTCTTTAAAAATTAAAACTAGAACTACCATATGATCCAGCAATCCTACTACCAAGTATGTATCCAAAGAAATGAAATCAATGTGACAAACAGATACCTGCACTCCCGTGTTTGTTGCAGAATTTTTCACAATAGCCAAGATATAGAATCAACCCAAGTGTCTACAGTGGATGAATGGGTTGTGGTACATCCACTTGAGAGATACCATTCAGCTATAAAAAATGAAATCCTGGCATTCGTGACAACATGAATGAGCCTGGTGAACATTGTTAAGTGAAATAATCCAGGCACAGAAACACAGATACAACATGATCTCACTCATATGTGAAATCTAAAAAAGTTGATCTCATAGAAGTGGAGAGGAGAATGGTGGTTACCAGTGGCTGTGGTGATTGAGGGGAGGTGGCAACTAGGGAGAGATGTTAGTCTAAGAATACATTTCACTTAGAGAGGAGAAATAAGTTTGAGAGATCTTTTGTACAACATGATGTTTACTGTCTGCAACATGGTATTTTGATACCTTGTGGAATAACTGAATCCTGTTAATTGCAATATGCATAATCTCACATAGTTATTTTTGTGGTGAGAACATTTTATATTCATTCTCTTAATATTTTTCTGGTATACATCATAGATATATTATTAATGATAGCTACCATGTTGTACAACAGTATGATTTTATCTGTCAATGTAAAAATAAAATTAAAAAATTAAATGTCACTGATTAGACTTAGTACTATACTTATCCAAATAAACTTAGGTCCAGTTTTTTTTAAATGACAATAAAGAAACTTTAAAAAATAACAATAAGATTTTTAAATGATGACAAATGAGTGACAGAAAATCAAACTTGCGATATTGGGAAAGCAAACTTTAACTATTGTTCAGAAACCATCTTTGCAATGAAATAATTTCATAAATGCAAATCCAAAATAAATACAACAGAACCCATAAACATTAATATTCTTGAGAGAAACAGACATTGAAGAAAAGAACCTACCTATATTAAATACAAGCTGCAGACATTTTTTATAAACTGGATTTTCATTCATGAAGTATATTTAAAGACAAGAATAATATTCCATTTCCAAGAATATTTCATTTTATATTGGGATACTATCATTCCCATAATAATAAATTAAATGTAAATTTATAGTATATTAAAAGGAGTTCTGCTTTCTTTCCAATGGATGGGGTGTTTTTCAACCACTTATTTTTACCCAAGTACTAATATAGAATACTCACATGGAATTTTATGCAACTCATTCATAAACTTCTCCTTCAGCTTAGAAAAGGCATCTTCCTTTCCTTCTCCAGGACTGGCTGGCTCTGTGGCATTGCTTGGCAGAACAGTCGCGACAGTGGTGACTGGTGGGGCTGCCAGGGCCTCATGGTGACTCTCGCTCACCATTTTAGGTTCAGGTGAAGCTGTGAGGGGAGGGAAGCAAAGACAGAACAATTCAAAATGGCTTAACTGCTCCCACATCAAAGGCATCCCAGAGATGAAAGAACATCAGAGGTGGCACCTGCTCACTGGGTAAATAGTCCATTATTAGCATATCGCTTTGTGTTGGTTCATGAAATATTTATGGAAACACAGAGAGTGAAGAGCTCTTCTCCAGAAGGTAAAGACCAGACATAGTTACTCAATAGTATTCTATTCCGACAATACTATGTATACTGTCAAATCTATTAGTTATTTATATAGCCAATTATTTGCTGTGTATATTTAACTTTTAAACCATATCTTACCAAAACGTGTATGAAACAATTCTTGACAAAATACATGCTCTATACTTTAAATATTTTGTGTTTTCTAAAAGGAAAAAAGAGATAAAATATTTGTATTGGAAATGTTGATAAATAACATGCATTCAAAATGCTAGTGACTTTAAAAATGGTTATAAGTAATATTATTCATAATATTGATACTCTAAGATGTTATGAATGTATTACAGTAATTGGTTCTTGAATCTTATTTATTGATGGTAAGTTTTCACCTCAGTCACTTTTTTTGACATTTATTGTAAACAATGCTCTGATCAATAATTTTCTTGTCTTGTTGGGTAATTTTTTTACATCACTATAAATGTGGCATGGTTGATTATATACATCAAGGTGCTGCTAATGAAACACAACTTATAAGTTTAGTTATTTTACTTTATTTAGCTTATTTAATTAGAATATTTTATTTTATTAATTCATTCAATTGTTCAAAGTATTTGTTTACCTCCCAAATATGCCAAAATAATTAATAAAGTAATCAGTAAAAACATCTTAGCTGTGGATTCAGAAGACATCAGTTCTCATCCTCCTCACTAGCTACCTAAACTTTAACAAGGTATTTGACTTCATAATTTATCCACCTTCTGAAATACAAAGAACTAAAACCTGCCCTTCCTAGATTTTTCTTAGAACACGTGAAGGTACAAATGTAAGGAAGGTATTCTAAGAGAGTAGAAATGAACGTATATTCTCCAATCTAAAACTATTCCAGACTTTGTAATTCTCCTGCACGACTTAAGATTTCAGACTTTCTGAGGAAAGAATGTCATGACTTGGGGCAGATATAGAGAAGTAAAGAGGCCTGGACAGGATTCATTTCATGTTCTCAACAGAAAAGTAGATGAACTTATAAAAACCTTTTAATTTGCAAAGACATGGAGATAACCAGCAAACAAGATTTTTTAAAAATTGAAATTTAGTCTGGGCGTGGTGGCTGACTCCTGTAATCCCAGTACTTTGGGAGGCTGAGGCAGGCGGATGACTTGAGGTCAGGAGTTCGAGACCAGCCTGACCAACATGAAGAAACCCCATCTCTACTAAAATATAAAAATTAGCTGGGTGTGGTGGTGGGCACCTGTAATCCCAGCTATTCCGGAGGCTGAGGCAGGAGAATCGCTTGAACCCAGGAGGCAGAGGTTGTAGTGAGCCAAGATTGTGCCACGGCACATTGTCCTGGGCTACAAGAAAAAAAATCTAAAAAAAAAAAAAAAAAAAAAAAAAAAAAAAGGAAAGAAAAGAAATTCAAACAATGTGTGAGTTAGTTGTGCATACTTACATATTTAGTGAAAGTACAATTGAAAATAGAATAATCTCAGATGCGTAAGAGGTTTATTAAAATCTTAATCAAAATTCAGAGATTTTGGATCTGCTTCCAGGAGATCATGGCTGAGGCTAACACATACACATAGATAAGAATTTTTATTTTATAATTGACTAGTTCTCTCTTTCTCGTTTATGAGATAGCGTCTTGCTCTGTTGTTAGGCTGGAGAGCACTGGCGAGATCATAGCTCACTGCAGCCTTGAGCTCCTGGGCTCACGTGATCCTACTGGTCTCAGCCTTCTCAAGTATTCGGATTACAGGTGTGAGCCACCACACCTGGCCTCGTTCTCTTTTTTAAGTTTTTAATTTTCCATTACTAGCTACTAATATAATCCTAAAGGGTAGAAATGGACAGATATCAGCTCAGATCTTGTTTTTCAGCTTCTTCATTTGTAAAATGAGGATAACCAGACCAAATCTGTAAGGATTTTATGAGTATGAAATAATTTACGCAAAAAATTTAGCATAGTGTCTGGCATATTAGTTGGTTCCATTGATCCATTGTTCCATTGATCCACTGGCATATTAGTTTGTTCCATAGATCAGTGGATCAATGGAACACACTACCAGTGGATCAATCAATTGATTGCTCAATTGATCTATCCATCCATCTCTAATAGCACTTGGCCTCCCAGAAATGTGGAAACTTTTTGTTTCCAACTCAAGTCACATCCCAGAAGCTTTTCCTGATTATCTGACTTTGTTCAGTTTAGGAGCCCATCTCCCTGGAAAACTTTGAAGTATTGTTTGCTCTGTTGATACAATTTGAGTGAAACTGTTGATGTTAATGATGTCTTAACTTTTGTATTTCATTGAGTCAGTCAGACTAAAATTGTACACACACACACACACACACACACACTATTATGTACATATTCAAAAAATTAATTTGTTCCTTTGCTGTGAGAAACACCGGATGTGATACACACTATTACTTATCTCTCTACAGGATAGTTGAAGATATTTGAGGAATTATGGCTTACTGTAGAATTTAAAGGAAATGATCGAGTTAAATGAAAATTACTAAGTATAATAGCTCCGTCATTACATTAAAGGTATATTGCTCAACTATGTTTCTGCATAATTTTTGTCTAGTTCTAGAGGTGGGATATTGTTGCTGGTCATTCAGACTGATGTTCAGCTGCTACCTCCAAGTGGCTACACAGTTGTTTCTAGGCTTTGTGTGTACTGATAGCTGGATCCTCCTTCACTTCTTGAGTTGTTAAATAGTTTTCATTTTACTCCAGCTTATACTTGTACATAAAAATTTTCTACATATAGTTTGAAAGACATAAAAGACTATAGGAACAATAAGACTTTTGCTAAATAGGGTCAACATTTAGAAAATGTTCTTAAAGTTACCCAGCTTCTTTTTTTTTTAAGGAAGCAAAGAATGTTTCTCTAATTTCCAAACCAATCCTCTATAGACATAAAATATCTGTGGAAGGTGTTCGTCAAAAAAGTAAGAGCTATAAGCTTTTAACTCTTACCAGCCAATGATATTATCCCTATTGTTTCTTATTTTTTTAATAAAAAAATTGTACGAAATATAGAAAAAATTCTTTTTACTTAGTGCATACCACTGTGAAATTTAAAAAAATCATAAAATACAAAAATGTAGTGGGTAATTGAGGATTTAATATATTGACAATGAAAGACTAAGGGATTGCTTAGTGTTTTATTTTTATTTCTTCATATCTTGAGAGATAATACTGTTTGTAAATAGCAAACCTAAGAATAGTTACTTGGTTCTTGAAAATTCACATTTATGGAAATAAAATGCTTATCAGGAGGCATCATTTTGTGGATGATAAAATTAGTTGATTATTCAGTCCTAGCTAATGTGATGATTTCATTTTTTATTTTTTATTTTTTATTTTTTTGAGACAGGGTATTGCTCTGTAGACCAGGCTGAAGTGCAGTGGCACAATCTCTGCTCGCTGCAACTTCCATCTCTTGGCTTCAAGCAATTCTGCCTCAGCCTCCTGAGTAGTCAGTATTACAGTCACCCACCAACACACCTGGCTAATTTTTGTATTTTCAGTAGAGACGGAGTTTCACCATGTTGGCCAGGCTGGTCTCAAACTCCTGACCTCAAGCGATCTGCCTGCTTCTGCCTCCCAAAGTTCTGGGATTACAGGCATGAGCCATGGCTCCCAGCCTGATGACTTTATATTCTTTTATGTACACAGTTTGCTTATTCAGAAAAAAAGATATTCTACTCAGTCTTTAAAAAATAAGCTAACAGTTATTGAGCACCCGCCAAGCGGTTTAAACATATTAAAGCGTATAGTAGTTTTCATATTATTCCCATTAATAATTATCACCCATTTCATAGGTGAGGAAATTAAGTCATAGGAGGTTATACAGTAAAACTCAGACAGTTAAAAGTCATACAGTAGTAATTAATGGAGTTGGGATTTTAACCAAGGTATCTTAGCCACTGTAGTATCAGGAGACTTGGAAACTATGAGATAAGTATCTAACATAATCCTGTTTTTTGAAGGAGTTTTTGGATACAACTCATAGTAGGAGGTTATTTTACATTGTCATCCAGTATACACACTCTGTCTGCCTAGATATTATATACTGAAGAGAAATTTCACATAAAAACACTTCTGTGAAATACTCGGATATATTCAATTCTACTCTCTTCTTTATCACTAAAAAATTCTAGTTGTATCTCAAAGTTGTGTACATTAGTTTCACAATCCACTCATGATTTGAGACCTGTAGTTTGAAAAATCACTAAAATAAAGGACATATTGATATAAAATAACATCAAAAGGAGCTAATACTAATGATTCCATTTATTAGGCACCTACTTTGTGCCAAAATACTGTTGTTGATATTTAAGGAGAAAATTCTCAATTCCTATTACAACCCTGAAAAGTAACTCAATCTTATTTTACAGAAGTAACTGGAGTGCGGCTTTCCCAGGACTAAGTGATTGGTCCTACACAGATTTAGCCTGATCCAAAGTTCCTTCTACTGGTCTACTCTACTAATAACATTTAAGCATCATTAAACAATTAAATCAGTACTGAAGAAGTATTTTGATTTTCTTTTGAACCTATTTGCCAGTAAATGGAAGACACAAGTCATCTTACTGAAAGGAAACATAGTGCTTAATTTCAGAGGCACAGTCATTTAGTTTGTTAAAGTGGAATTCAGCATCCTGAAATATACCAAGAAAAATATTATTGAATAGAAAATTAAATTATCAAGAAAAATATTATTGAATAGAAAATTAAATTATCAAGAAAAATATTATTGAATAGAAAATTAAATTATCTTCTAAAAGAAAGTCCAGCACAAGCA